CCACACTCTTGCTATGGCTCTAATAGCTCTGACCCCCAGACAACTTTATTTATTAACATACAATCAAATTAATATTTCAGTATAAATCAAAATAATATTTCAATACAATTAGATTACCACCACATCAGAGTTTTTCAAAGACCCATGGGCCTGATATTCTGACCATTTCACAGGAGCACAAACAGCTCAGGAAGATACCACTTGCCCAAAGCCACACATATCTGCCCCTCTCCCCATCTAATGTGTATGCAAGGCTCTACCACGGTGCTACATATCCAGCCCTCTTTTTTTTTAACCACCCCATTCTTTTCTTTTGAGACCCAGTCGTAAGTTGCTCAGGCTAGCCTTGAACTCATGATGTAAACCAGGCTGGCCTCAAATCACAGAGATCTTTTTGCCTCTGCCTCTTGAATGCTAGGATTAAAGATGTGTACCACCATACCTGTCTTCCAGGTTGATCTTGAACTCTGTAGCCCAGACTGGCCTTTAACTTGCTGTCTTCCTGCCTCAGCCTCCTGAGTAGCTGGGATTACAGGTCTGATCTAGTCCTACCTTCTGAAGTTAAGATTCTTTGTGCATGATTGCACATCAAAGGTCTCTTAGTTTAGATCCCTACCACCACCTCTCTCTCTCTCTCTCTCTCTCTCTCTCTCTCTCTCTCTCTCTCTCCTCTCTGTTTGTTTTTTAAGACAGGGTTTCTCTGTGTTGTTTTGGCACCTGTCCTGGATCTCACTCTGTAGACCAGGCTGGCCTCGAACTCACAGAGATCCGCCTGGCTCTGTCTCCCAAGTGCTGGGATTAAAGGCATGTGCCACCATTGCCTGGCTATCTCTCTTTCTTTTTGATAGAGTCCCACGTAACCCAGGCTGGTTTTGAACTCACCATGTAGTTGACGATGACCATGAACTCCTGATCCTGCCTCTGCTTTCCAAGTGCTGGGACTGAAGGGGTGCACACCATACATACTGTGTGGGCTACTGGGGCTAGAACTCAGGGATTTGTGCATGCTAGGAAGGACTCTACTAGCTCAGCTATAGCCTCAGTTCCCTGTCCGCCCCCCCCAACTTTCTTCTTTTCACTGGGCACTGGAGGCTCTAGGGTCACTAATATATCCTCCTTGTTTGTTTTGTTTTTCAAGACAGGGTTTCCCTGTGTAGCCCTGACTGTCCTGGAACTCACTTTGTAGACCAGGCTGGCTTTGAACTCAGAGATCCACTTGTCTCTGCCTCTTAAGTTCTGGGACTAAAGGGGTGTGGCACCACTGGCCAGCACATTGCCTGAGTCTTAACTGCTAAGAAGTTGGAGTGAGACTGAGCCTGGAAGTCCAGCACCAAGTGTTCTCATCACAACTCAGCCTCAGGTTGTCTTCTTAAAGGGGGCCTAAGGCCAGGTATGGCGGCACACTCTTTTAATCCCAGCAGGCAAAGGCAGGTGGATTTCTGTGAGTTTGAGGCTAGCCTGGTCTACATAATGAGTACCAGGACAGCCAGTGCTATGTAAAAAGATCCTGTCTAAAAAATAATAAGTAAGTAAATAAATAAGGTGGGGGTATACTGTCTGCATAGCACACAGGCATCCCTGTGATCTTTATCCTCTTTGCATATATAACCACAGAGGAACCATTCCCAAGAGCAGAGGGACCACATGAGCTGCAGAGAAGAAAGCAAGCTCTCTTAAAGTCAGTGATCACAGAGACAGCATTACGGCCCAGAGCAAAGGATGGGGATGGCTGAAAAAGGAAAGGCCTAGCAGATGATTAGTCTTTTTTTTTTCAGTCTTAAAGAAGAGAAAATGGACTGGGTGGTGGTGGCGCACACCTTTAATCCTAGCACTCAGGAGGCAGAGGCAAGCGGATCTCTGTGAGTTCGAGGCCAGCCTGGTCTACAGAGTGAGTTCCAGGACAGTCAGGGCTACACAGAGAAACCCTGTCTCAAAAACAAAACAAAGAAGGAGGTGGTGGGGATGGGGGAGAAGAAGAAGAAGAAGAAGAAGAAGAAGAAGAAGAAGAAGAAGAAGAAGAAGA